AATTTGTAACAAAGGAGTGTTACAAGTTGATACTAAAGCATTAGTAATTACGCTTGGTATATTAATTGATTCACACATGTGTGGAATCGTTGCTTTTACGGCACATTCTATGCTATTTCGAATTTTTGTAGGCAAAGAATTTTCCCTTTTTCTTGCAAGTTCTTCGGGTAAATTGTTTACATCTTGTATTACATCGCTAACTGTGGCACTGCGAACTCCAAATAACACCTCTCTTTTATGTAAAGAACGTAATTCGACACTAGTTATGCTTCTAGGTACATATAAACAAGATGTATATGCAAATTTATATGCGTTACGTAAAACGGCTGCTGTAAATAAATAATCGTCGTTATAGGATGCACTTAGTAGTTGGAAGTTATACATTGCCTTAACTCCCATAGTAACGTCATCTCTATGTTGTTTAAATGAAAAATCCACCCCGTTTGCGAGCATGGCAATTGCATCCGAATTTAACCATCCTGATAAATATATACTAGTAGAAAATAAAGATAATTCGTCGGACCACGAGCCATCGATACAATCACTATATGCAGGTATTTTGTGAAGAAATACATAAGACCAAAACATTGGGTATTCTTCGCTGATTTTAGGATGTCTAGACACTATGTAGGCAATGTGACCGTGTGGATCGACGACAGATTTATAATTGTCGAATAAAACACGTCCGACGTATGCCATTTCCGTGGTTGTTGTAGAATACGCTGCTCGTCGCGGTATCATTATTTCGATTGGTAAAATCGAACGTTGATCAGAAACGCACATTCGTATATTTTCTACATTTATTACCCAGGGAAATGTTTTACTTACTAAATCGAAAACATATTTTCTAAAACGCCGTTCACCCTTCATTCTATGTTCGCTACTAGTTTCTCGTCGTATGTATTTCAAAGTAAGTGCGTCATATATATCCGATCGTTTATTCTTGTCTATATTTTTCCAGAAAAAAGATAACATCATGTCGACCAAGGTTGTAGCCATTGCTACACCACTTCGATGTGACTGGTTTGGACTGGGAGATAAAACCCTCTCTCCATTTTCTCTGATAGAAATCACATTAGCTACCTGATGAGACGGATTTGTGACCGAAGGAGTTGGCGCAGACGATGTACATGATGTTGTTGATGGTGACGACGATGGTGTGGTGGCTATTGTTGTTGTTGTCCTTGACGATGCTCCACTACTTCCATCTGTAGTAGAAGGAGAACTTACCGGTGGTAATAGATTTAATATGGCAGCACCCAAAGCCTCCATATTCGTTATATTTTATTTTAAAAACACTTTTAAAAGAAACGTAACAAAATGCATAATTGTCAGCGAGAATTCGTACCTTGTAAAACAGTTTCCGATTGTACAAACTTGTGTGAGCCATTGACAGACATTATTTGTGGCGAATATTACGGTGGTATACGCCGTTGCGTTTCACAAACACAATACTTAAATAAATCAAAGCCAAGACATCTTATAAACGAAAATGTTTTATTAATGTTCATTATGAATAGAAATCTCAAATACTTGGAACCTAAATACATTCCTTTAAATTTACAAAAATTCACACCAGAAGGTGAAAAGAATCCACACGATTGGATAAACTCAAACCTAACTTGGTATGATAGAGACCACGACAGAGAAAAAGGGGGTGGTGGTGACGATGATGATACATCGGTTTTGACATTATCGATATACGGTCCAACAACGAATGATAGAGTGCCGTATGAATATAAAACTTTATTACCACGGCGTCTTTTTAATGGATTAATGAAATGTTCGCCATTGTTTACAAATTTCGTAGTAACTTCGCAGTCTGCACTTTTTCAGTCAGAGTAGTAATTTCGAATAGTATAAAACTCTGAATAAATCTAAAGATGTGTAAACAATTTTTTCGTTATAACTTGCCACTTTTTTATCGGGATGAAGCCAAACAACGTCCACCAGTTTTTCTTCGCAACCCAGGGTTCGCATTAGTCTTCTCGTTTCGGTTGGATCAATAGATACGAGTGCATCTTCTTTGCTCGTTTTTATCACTTCTAATGTTTCCGGTGACAGTTGTATAATAAAGTCTTCAGTTTGCAAGGAATCGTTTTTCTTCACGGAATGTAACGAATTCGTTGTGGCATCCCATCGCATTACTTTATTTTCCCAAATTATAACTTGATTCGAACGCGAATGAGTGTATATAAACACAGGTACACCTTTAAAACCGCCTAGTGTGGTGGGCAACACACCTAAAGTACCCGATAACACACCACCGGCAATATCCATTCTTTTGTTGTATTATAATTAGTTTATTAATTGAGAATGTCTGAACGTGGTATACGCACGATTTATACTACTGATGGAAAAAATGTTGAAGGTATACGTAAAATGATATCGGAAATACAGCGTCACTATTGCGAACCATCTAATGTTCTTATTAATACAGAATTTATACAGTTTGTAATAACCACCCCAATATCCATGGTAACAGATGAATTTAAATCTATACCACTTCGCACGATTCGTTTATTCATGCTGAAAAACGAAAACCTATTGAAAATGTACTATCAATCGGTTCGAAATTGTTTAGTAACCGGAGCATATCATTGCGGAACAACTGATAATCTCGGAATTTTAAGAGTAAGTGTATTATCTCATAACGCTTCACCAAGATTGCGCAGGGTAGATGGACAATTAAATGAAAATCAAGGTGGAAATGGAACTTTAACCACTTTATTCAAGATACAACCAGAACACCCGATGTTACCAGTAGATCAGTTGTCGGATCGATTTCGTGATTTGGTAGATGGTTCGCACACGCAGTATATACCTTATTTACAACAACTCTTGGTCACCATAGAATTGCCACACACGAAAACAAATACGAAATTTGGTAATATAGACAATTTCAGTGACGTCATTGAAAAAAACATGCATAACATTGAAGGGTATATTGCTACATTAGATACATTCTCTCTCTTAAACGCCGCACTCGTGCCAATAGCGCCAGTTTTAGTCAATGGAAAAACAAACGTTCACGTTATGCGTTTATCAGTGATGATGGGACAAACTCTGGTGAATAAAATTAGCGCTATGACGCACAAAGTGTGTGTTAACGATAAATAAAGGCAATAATTGACCTTACTCTTCTCCGATATTCCTTTCCTACTCGGTTTTCATATATATACACACGCAGTCCAGCAGCTACCTACATCACAACCACAATGGAGTTTCTGCTGAAAGATGTGTCTGGGAGTGAGCACCAATGCCTAATAAGTATACAATACTTTCAAGTCCTCATCAATACGTCCTTCAAGCTGTCCGAAGATACTACAATAACCTGGCTGGACTTCATGAAACTTTTGAAGCGCAACAGAGGTATGATACGCTTCGCCTTGAAGAACGAGTCGGATGTTCATGCCATCCACGACGTCGACGTGTCACACGAGAACGTGCTGCGAGTGTCCATCCTACCTTCAAACGCCTCTAGAGAGTTGCGGTACGTGGCCAAGCTCGTGAGTGCGATTGGAACCATCGACAACATTCCCGCACCAATCTTCGTTGCACACCCACTGTTTGCCACCCCGACTACAAACGAGCTGCCGGACGTCTTGGAATGTACCACTAACTACATGAACGTTCTGAGGAACCCCATGAAGTACACAAGTCAACGTCAACAGGTTTCGTGTCTGTATGAACTCGATCCTCTCGACGGCAACTACGTGACCAATATGCAAGATGCGATTATTTATCTGAAGAACGTTGATGCACATTTACCGCGATCACACGTAGATATCTTCAATCTTTGTAGTTTGAATGGCATTACGCCATTGTTGATTGATCAAAGAGTATATATAATGCAGATAGAACTTACATTAGACGAATACTTTTGCGCGGAAGTATCCAAAGTGTTTGAATGATGTGCGAACTAAAGACGATAACGTTTGTTATTCATAACGAAGAGTTTCTTTGGCGTATAGAAAAATCTGCTGAAATATGCATAGTAGACCATCGTGTCGATGACATTGCGTCGTATGAAACGAGTGTCACACTTTGTACAAACGTTACATCTATGCGCATAGAACATGACGATGTGTATATGCAATTTCAATTGCCTTGTTCAATTAAAGTAACTTATCCAATTCCAGATAAACCAAACGGTGCAGTTGCGTACAACATTGGTGCATGCGATAGTGTTTATACGATTCACATATGTCCCCTGGATGATGAGTTCAAAACAAACAGCCGATGGTGGACTCGCTACGCATGTCATCAAGATTCGTTATACGTGCCAGACGTTATTGCAAGACCATCTCATCAAAATTTAATAATGGCAAGATATGCAGCAAGGACTCAATTTATACTACGTATGATTAACACGAGAATATTTCAATAAACATTTTCGTTTATGTTACCCAAAGCTCGTCTGATGTGTTCACTTTCAGACATACAAGGTCTATCGTTATTGTTTTCGAAAGCATTATCGTCACCGCTATCATCCTCGTCTTCGTACGCGTGGGGTTCACATGGTTCCACCACGTGTTTCGGGATACGAATATCGTCTGTTAATGGTGCGTTCTTATCAAATTCACCAATAGGGTGTTTATTTGGATTATGTACCGCCATTTGGATTATGTACTGTCGTTATTGATAGCTTTCCTCTTCCGCACATAGAAGAACTTCTGCATGCTTTACATGGTGCCAAACATTTTTCCAAGCTTGACTTAGCGGCTGCTTACCACCAAGTGCCGCTACATAAAGATAGCCGGGACCTAACCGCATTTATTACACACGAAGGTCTCTTCCGGTTCAAAAGAGCATGTTTCGGACTTTCTTTGAAAGACGCGTGTCGATGTGCATTTCTTATCAACTACTTCCACTACTGCATTATTTTATCAATGACCTTTTTGTGCGATTGACTTATAACTATAGCCAAGATTTTTGCGACTAATGTGCTTTTAGAAACACGTAAATACTGGAAATACCACCAAGGCCAAGACACAAAAATGGATTTCCACACTGCATACACCTCGAACATGAACGGTGCTGAGGTCTCTCTGCAAAAACAAGTCAACAGAATGCAAGGTGAATATTTTTTTACACTACATATGTACGAGTGGATGTTTTTTTTTAATTTAGTTAGTTAGTTAGAGTTTTGCGAGTAAGGAATTATGGCTGGTAGGAGGGGCTGCCGCACAAGCCGCAAAAAGCTTCACTGTAAATGTAAGGAACGAAATGTGATATACCATGGCCACCACACCCTTCTTGTTTAGATATTACTGTTTAAAATTTCATTTCCATCTGTTTATTTAAATATAGCAGGATGTTGTCCATCTGACAGCGTGAGAAACTACAGTAAGATGTGACATTGAAAATGCATATACTTACCACACCCCATCTTTTTCCTTTAATGTAGACATAAGATAGCAAGGGGGTGGGGGGGGGGGGGTCACAAGGCATGGACGTGTTTTATGTTACTTCGGATATAAGGTTACACACTTCGAGACGGGATGTTCTTCACATGACATATTTATTTTCTCAAAGATTACACACAACCTCCTCTTTCCGTTAAAAAAAAACAGTATGTCTCCACCACCATTAGTGTTGTTTTTACTTTTTCGAAATAACGGATGTTTTTCGCGCTTAAGAAACAGTGCCTGCTCAACATCGATAACTTCTCCTTCTCGCAGAATCTCAACTCTCTCTATATATACAGCTATAGTAGAAACGTGACCATGTGCTTTTCCACACAAAACCTCCACCCACGACTAATATTTCCTTACTCCGATGCTAGACGACCACGGATCCAGCTTTGACGAGTACAAGGTCCTGGCGGATCTTTTTCCCGGAGTCTCCTACGACGAGGAAAAGATGCGAGGTAAGAATTCTACTTTTTTAAAGAGTGTGTAAAAGAAACTATATAGCTTTATTTTTATCGCGCAGGTGTGGATGCTATCGTGGAAGCCGAAACAGAGTGTTCGTGTATCCATGGCCAAGTGGAGAACAATTTGCAGGAAACTGTTTTGCTAGAATTTGGAGAATTACTCAAGGCATGGTCAAAAACAGTTGAGGAGCCCAATACCATGAAGAGTACCATCAAAGACAGCGTCGACAGAAATGAGACGACTGCCAGAAACTATATGTTCATCACAGATCTCAGAGAAGATTCCAACAGTTCCACAATCAGCACAAGCGGCGATTATATCCACAGCGAAGATTCGAATAACGAAGATGTCAGCAAATTCACAATGGACAACACTGAGGCTGTTGCACACTGCGATTTCACTGGTACCCCCGCCATCAACATGGACTACGTTGATAGTGCCGTTGACGATGTCTTCTTCCCAGACTTTTGCAACAAGTCGAAAGACAGTCAATTGCCAGCCGGGACGTTCGTACGTACGCACCGTAATATCATTCCGATCAACAAAGCCGAAAACGTCTTTAGACACTTGATAAATTTTAATAATCCGTGTCTTATTCACGGCAGTGTGAACTGGGATAATATCCTAGAGTTATTTTCCCTAACTACAGAAAGTGTGGAATTGACTAAAAACACTGAAACGCCTACCCTATCGTGCACAAGATTAATCCTGAGCTCCGTAGAATACATTGAAAATCTCTCCAAAGACGTTGAACACCTAAAAATAACCATTACTAATTTAACAGATACTCTCTTGCACAAAATTGTAACCAAAGCGCCAAGATTAGTTTCTCTCGAAATTACCGATGCTTCAATGTTGTCCCATCAATCCCTGCAACATGTGTCGTCTTCTTTAAGGGAGTTGCAACATCTAATCATTTATCACTACTTCCGAATGACTAACAAAGGAATCCGCTACTTGGGGCGATCGAACATGAAATTAAAAACTCTCTGTCTAATTGGTGACAAAGTAAATGCAAAAACTTTTCATAGAATTGTCCGAAATCACAGAGAACTCCTTTGTGCATTCTGTAATGTAATCGAATAACTTCTCCTTCTCGCAGAATCTCAACTCTCTCTATATATACAGCTATAGTAGAACGTGACCATGTGCTTTTCCACACAAAACCTCCACCCACACTCAATATTTCCTTACTCTGATGCTAGACGACGGATCCAGCTTCGACGAATACAAAGTCCTTGCGGAGCTTTTTGCCGGAGTATCCTACGACGAGGAAAAGATGCGAGGTAAGAGTTCTACTTTTTTAAAGAGTGTGTAAAAGAAACTTTATAGCTTTATTTTTATCGCGCAGGTGTGGATGCTATCATGGAAGATGCTATCATGGAAGTTGTTCCCGAAACAGAATGTTCTTGTGCTGATGGCCAAGTGGAGAACGACAACCATAACCATAATTTGCAGGAAGCTGTTTTACAAGAACTTAGAGAATTGCTCACGGCAATGTCAAAAACAGTTGAGCCCAATGCGCAAACCATGAAGGATAGCATCAACAACAGCGTCAACATAAATAAGACGCCTGCCAAAGACGATATCTTCATCGCAAACACAGATCTTAGAGAATGCCTGCTCGTCGGAGATTCCAATAGTTCTACGATAAGCGCAAACGGCGATTACATCCACAGCGAAGACGAATGTATACCTGAAGGTGTCGAATTCGCTAAAATTGAAGATTCGAACCACGAAGATCTCAGCAAAGTCACAATGTACAACATTGAACAGGCTGTTGCACGATGTGATTTTACTAGTACCCCCGCCATCAACATGGATTACGGTGATAGTGCCGTTGACGATGCATCCTTTCCAGACTTTTGCAACAAGTCGAAAGGCACTCAATTGCCAGCCGGGACTTTCATACGTACTCACGCTCAATTAGAGATGAAAGTTGTGTCGCCAGGACATCTCGGCATTTGTGAATTAATGAACGGACCTTATTTTCCGCACGACAGTTTAAAAACATTGGATGTATGCCTTCTCCTTCATCGGTTGCTCGTTCGACACCACTGTATAGGAACCTTGCATTTATCTAACCCATGTGAAACGTTGTGCGGAATGGTTGCCGATGTGTTTCGTGTAAAATCTGAAGGATTGCGCGAACTCAAACTGTCTTGTTTGGACATGACGTCCAAGACTCAAGACTCCCTCTTGATGGGGATTTCGAAACTCTGTTCATTACAGAAGTTGTACATTTCTGATATAAATATATCGCACGATGTCACTGAATCTCTGCTCAAAATGCTAAATCGTCAGTCGCTAGTGAGTGTGTCTTTGATTAACGTCGGAATGACTTCCTGTCAAGCCGGAAAATTTTTAGAAGCAATATGTACAAACCACCAACGGCTACATTCTGTATGTATCCATCATACTATAATCGATGATGTTGGTTTAGTTGCTCTCGCCAAATTATTGGAAAAGAGTGATTGTGTCCTACATACGTTATCGTTGTGTAATATCGTCGAGTTCACAAACACGTCCATTTTTGCAGCATTGCGTGTGAATAAGAGTGTAAAAATATTTGAGATGAACGGTTGTCGTTTAAGTAGAGAACTTGGAGCGCAGTTGATGAACGCGCTTGCATTTAACGACACCATCGATACATTGAATCTTCGTTGCTCCAATGTAAAAACATTTACTTCGCATTTCGCTAATGCCTTGTTTGTAAATCAGACTATTCGCAATGTCAATTTAGATTACAACTTCTTTGACATCGACGATGTTGTGCAAATCGCAGAAGTTTTAAAACGTAATCGCACGCTAGAGACACTCGGTATCGAAAGTAACATTTTTGGTCCTATCGGTCACTTGATCTTAATGACTGCCCTTGTTGAGAACAAGACTTTGACAGACCTTAATTTAGGTTACGTAGACGCAAACGAAGAGATTTACGATTTTTTAAAAAGAAGCACAGTCTCTCATCGCTTACGATTTCCCTGCGATTTTGAGATCTTTGAAATCATTACGAGAGACATCAGTCTTCATAACGTAACTTCCATCCATGTGGAATGTGTAGATAGTTTTAAATCTACATATTTGGGCAACCTTTTTTCAGCAGTACACAGAAATGCCGGATGTTTGAAAACTCTTCACATCGAGGTAGATGCACACATGGACTGCCATGCAGCTTTTCAATTGTGTAAATTGCTAAAAAATACGTCTACTCTTAAACGAGCTTCAATAAACACTTACTATCCATCGTCCTTAGAATTGGTAACTATTTTGAGCGGTCTTTGTCAAAATCGAAGTGTAACGCATTTTAACATGGGATGTATCTACACTAAACAAATTGTAACAAACGCAATTGTTAAAGTGTTGAAAGAAAATGTGACGCTATCGTATTTCGGTACGATCAGTGCTCCAAAGGACGAGTTGCACATCATCGCTAACGGACTTCGTACGAACGTTGTGTTAACGTCTCTCGTTATATGTAGCGACTGTGATTACATGGAGCTGTTTGTGATTAACCAACTGTTGAGACGAAATGTAGCACTAGTGAGCGAAACTGTAAAGTTTGTCCTAAATCCACATGAACGCGTCATTACTCGCTCATTAGCCAAAGTGTTTGAATTGTTGCAAGAGAAAGAATCCTTTACGAAGATGCTTGCTGAGTGTTGCGCAGAGTGTCATGTCGAATCTAAAACCGTGTTGAAAAATGCACGGAATCGCGTGACACAAAACTTCTTTGCCATTACGGGTATATGTAAAGTGTTGGAGTGTCGTCCTCCACCTAGGCGACGGCGAAAGTGTCTGCAAATCGATGCTCTGAATTACGAGTGTTTGTTGAAAATTTGGTCTTATTTAAAGGTAACAGATATTGTGGTATAACTTGTTTATATACATGTTGGCCATTGTATATAATGTAAATATTTCTTTTACTATTGTAATTACTGTTTAAAATTGTGTGAATATTTCATCTGCGTTAATAAACCTTGCAATATTATAAACTGATGTCTGAAATCTCAAAGCACACAAGAGGCTTGGTCAAAATATTTTTACCTTCCCCACCACTATGGAAAGAGGGTCGTAAAGTATAGACCTTTTTTCGCAAGGGCGCCGCCATCTTGAATTGTCGTCACTTCCAGTATGGGCGAAAACATTGTTTTCCCGTCGCCACGCCAATAGGAAATTAGGAAATAAACGTAACCGTCACACATTCTCGTTTTGCCTCCCCTCTATTTTTTTTACTATTTGCAGGTTGAAACGTTCTGATATTTTTTCGTCGCCGGATATGCCTACTTGGCGGTCGGGGGGAGAGGGTAAGCGGAAAAGGTCTATATAATAAATATATGGGGTATATATATAGTGGAGGAGTATACCTAACTAACATATGAGAAAAGAGTTGAATATATTACGATGGACAGGAATGATCTACACCAAAAAGGTAGGGTTCATTTTGTAATGTGATTTTTATTTTTCCTTTTCAATATCAATATATTTAATTGAATTCTATATCCACTTTCTATCTAAAGGTGAAGACTTCTGGATAAATTCAACGATTCTTCAAGTGCGTGAATTACGTGACAAGGTGGCATCGAAAGCTTGTGGCGGAGAAAAATGTTGGATATCAAGAATTATGGCAGATGTGAATTCCATATTACGTTTTATGGAACTACAATTGATAGAAATTAAGCCTATGGAATATGGATTGATGTACTTTATGGATGTTGCTCCCATGGGGATAGATGACGATACAATGTATCATTTATACGTCCATGTTTGTAAACTCGTTACCATTTTATTATGTACACATTCTTGCATTACGCGTATTGATATGAAACAAAGGCATGTTCGAGCATATTTTAATAGCCGTAAAAATCTCGATTGTGCTATTGCTTTGAATAAGGGTTTGAATAATATTTCAATTGAATGTGAAAGTTGGTACGGTGAACATCTAGATAACCTTCTAAAACCAATTTGTCAAACAACAAATAGAATAACTACTCTGTGTATTGAAAATACCAGGCTGACGGAAAACACGTGTGTGCATTTCGAGAAAATGATTGTCATGCAACCACTTATACATGTGAAGTTTCACTTTCATATGTCTAGAGTAGTGTCTAATAAAATAATCCCCCTTTTATGTGAAAAGAAATTGGAAACGTTATTTTTGGCTAATCAATCTCTTGGCGAAATTGCTGCATTGGCTCTTGGTAAATTTTTATCTCGTGAAACTTGTCGTTTAAAAACGCTAAGCTTTATGAATCTTTATTACGTGAATAATTACTTTGATACCCTAGGTCCAGCACTCGGTATTAACCGTAGTTTAATTACGTTATTGATTCGTAATGTTTTAAAAATGACAATTGATGATGGTCTTTCATTATTAAATGGATTAATGACAAACGTAACGCTGAAACATTTAACATTACACCACTGTAATATGCGATTTGTTTCTGACGCCCTGTCAAAAATGATTAAACATAACACAACGCTGACATATCTAAAACTAGACGATTATGGGTTTACTGATCAATTTGGTAAAGACCTCGCGGAAGCATTGGAGTATAATTCGAATCTAGAACGTCTTGTTATAGACGATGGTACGATCACACCAGCGTTTAAGATGTCTTTAATAGATGCTTTGAGTAAAAACACAAAGATTAAAGAATTGCGATTAAAACACAGCAACATAGACGAAAACATTGTTCGATCTTTAGATAGATCGTCATCATATCACCGAACAATGTATAACTATGATGAAATGTGTGTAAGAAATTTAATTGTTAGTATGAAGAACGATCCACTTAATATCACAAAACTAAAATTATTTTCTTACGAAAAATATTCTGACACGAGTTGTTTAAAAGATTTTGTTATGTCTTTGGTTCATTTACCATTCCTTGAAACTCTGAAAATTAAGACTGAATCACGTTTTAACGATGAAGTTGCAATTATATTTAGTAAATATATAGAAGGTGTCGTGAATCTTAAAAACGTAAAAATTTCATATCCGCAACCCAATGACGTGGTGAAAATACTTTTGGAAGGTTTACGCAAAAACAACAGCATAATTGATTTTGATATAGAGTGCAATTGTAGATGCACTGGTATTGTCGATTATTTTATAGAATTTTTTAAAACAAATACGAAAATGGAAACTTTTAGAACCGTTTACGTGACTAAAGATGCGTTAGAAAAAATTTGTAAATCATTTTATCTAAACACTAGTTTAACACATGTTCGTCTTGGTGGTCCTACAGATTGTAATGATGGATTGTTTCAAATTCGGAAAATACTGCAACGTAATAAATCGCTCGTTAATCGTGCGGTAGAGTTTGTCTTGAATCCATACATATGCAGTACGGCGAGTGCTTATATATACGATCGTTTACGCCTTTCCAATCAATTAAAGATTGTACTTGTTGATGTTGTAGAAAAGGAAGAAATAGCGAATAAACTATTGAGGTGTGCACGTAATTATACTATATGTAATTTTTTTTTGTTAACTGGTATTTGTAAAAGCTTTATGAGCTGCTATCCAAGCAATACCATTCAATTCGATTCCATTTGCTACGACTGTGTCATTCATATTTGTTCCTATTTAAATCTGAGTGATGTGAAATAAACATGCGCACGATCGTGTTCGTGTAATTACAAATGTGTTGCTGTTGGTTTGTTTCGTGTTATTGTTTTTTTTTTGAATAAAATCAAATTTGCTTCTTTACTCTGACTATGTCGTCATTCTGTATTTTACGTTTACGGTTATTTTGTGTCTGCGAATTAACAAAAGTGGGTATGTGCATAGGATCTACAAGTTTCTTTGGAGATAATATTATAGTATCAACATCGAGAAGATCTGTAAATTTTAGCATACGAACAGCCTGATTCGAATTATCTATATTTATCAATAAATTGGAGACTAAGTTATAAACATATTTGCGAATAACGTTATCCCGATCTCTTAATTTGTCACTGGTCAAAAATTTGAAACAATGATAAATAAAGTCGTACAGACGTTCACAATCTGTGACTTCTAATTGTAAAGAAGTATATTCGATTTCTTCGTCATATTGGTGTATTTCCCTCGTAACATAATTTGGAACTTTTATTACGATGTGTGCATCGAATATACGATATATATGATACACAACGTCCATAACTACTTGTATTAAATTATTCATTCCATATCTATTGATTACCATATTATAATACTTTTTTAAGTTTCCATAAGACGTTTGATAATCTAAAGATAGTTCCGTAGTTGTAACATCGAACGCACCAACACAATATACGTACACTGCTATTGCTCTTATTATATCTTCTGTCGAATGAGTAAGTAATTTCCGACTAAAATATGCATCCCGTAAACTTTCAGATTCGACAATCAATACCTTGTTATCGTTAACTGAAAATAATTTACGTCTAATCGACGCCGAATAAGGTGTTCTTAATAATGTAGCATATATATTCTTCCCATCTTTAATTGGATGCGTTCGTTGCATAAATGCGACGTATTTCCATACCATGTAAGTTAATAACCTAGGTGTGATTCCATTTTTGAAAACTAAATATTTACCATTGTGCACAGATATTTTAAAAGATCTAACTTTATTACACGCTTCGCTCAACCAATTTGGCGTATCAGAGAACGTATGTTCATCTGAATCAAATATACAATCTACATATTTTGCAACTTCTTTTATATTCAATCCTAATACGTAATCGATGTAAAAATGTGAAATGTAAGGTAAAGCCTTAGTTTCTAACCAACTCGTTGTAACAATTGAATAATCAAATAATAAAGATTCCTTTGGACATATAGCAGCACCATATATCAAGGATTCTTCTTTTGCAAAATCGTCCTGCAATTTAAAAACCTCTTTGATACTCTCTATGTCTTCCAACGTTGTGCTGGGTTTCTTATCAATCCAAAGCGGACCTTGAAAAATATTCCAAACACTATGAACTGTTTTAGATAACAGTTTATTTGAATGGCAAAATGGTTTATACTTATTGTATAAGAAGAACTCTTCAGTTCCATCGTTGAGGAATACTAAAAAACGTGCAAATCCACTTCCGTCACATGTGTATATTAGGTTTACTATATTTCTTTGATCATTAATCAACGCACGGTAAGACATTTTTGAAAGCGTTATCGCATCTATACTATACCAATCTTTACCATCGAATAATGTCCTTTCGTCGATTGATATAAAGTTAAAAAATGGCGATGCTACAGGTTTCGGTAATGGCAAATATCTTGTTCGTATATATAAATCGTCATCGGTGGAATTCTTAGTAGTGAAATATAGAAAATCTTTAACTTTAGAAGTTTTTAACGTTATTAAATTTAACAAACGCATAGCGTACACTGCAACAACTGCATGTAACTCTTTCAATTCATCCTTTCGTTTTATAAATTGGCTCTTAGGTAATATCAAATGCTTCACAATTAAGTTAACTTGGTGCAATATTGGAGCATAGTTTTCTATAGAGCCCATTGCATTATATTTATCTAAATCATTTAGTTTAACCTTATTGTTAGAATGAATTATACCTACACTTTGATGGTGTTTAATTGCAGTCAATGCAGTGTGTGCCATTGTCGGTTTCATATCTGTCCATCCAGTAGTATGAATTGTATATATGTTCATACTTTTCATATATTCTTGTATATGATATGTTGCAGAATCGTTATGCTGTAAACATTTAAAGATTACTTCTAAAATTGCATGGGACCACGTAATTCCTTTACGTTTTAAATACGCAATATAATAGTCATCGTTAGAAAATGTATATATTTCGTCTTCAATGGCGTCTATATTTGGTGTGTAATGTTTATCGACGTCTTTACTTAACTTAGGTTCAGTTGATGAAGCAGAATAGTATAGCACTAATAAACGTTCAACTAAAGACATCTTTACAAATACGTTCCTAGAATGTTTTAATGTGGTTTTTCCATCAGCTAAATATATGTCATCTATGCCGGTAACGTTGTAATACATTGTATCATTCATATACACAGACTTAAAGGAATATCCTACTGACCAATCATTTTTCGATATAATTTCACAAAGAGCACTGTTTGTATTTTGTGATAGTCGTTTCAAGAAGAATTCGGTGACATTTGTCCATGTAGGATACGGTGCCGTTGTTTTGAAAGTATTAACAATGGTCGTAAATAATCGTTTCAATCCTTTGTCATTGTTTATCAAATGACAGGACTGAATTGTATCGTCTATAGATTGATTGTTAAGTAAAGCATGTATTATTTTACCACATTCTGAATCTAATAGTAAAGCGCGTGTAATTCTCTCGTTCATTAATAGAGTTGTTTCTTTATACGTTTCTGACTTTTTCATATCGCCAAATAAAGTATAACATACATACATGAAATTGTTTTTACAGCTTGAAATGGAATTAGTGACTGGTGGGAATTTGCGCGTTATCATGGCTTTGTATAACCAAATTAAAGCAGAAAATCTCATAGATATAGTAACTTCGTAAGGAAAATCATCGTTCAACCCTACAACTACAGACGATATAATGTGATCCATTTGATTATATATATAAATATTCGATGAAGCTGAATGTTTAGACACCCTATAGGGTATTAGTGACAGTGCACATCCTATAGCTATAGTTTCCAATTCCAAATCATTTACACTACCTCCTAAATGTACTTGTGATAGATAATACAATCCCAAAGAAAAATCAGGAAATTTAAGAGTATCATTTGCTATACTACGCAATAAACCACTTTTCTTTCTCAGGGCCTCTAAACCAAAGATGGGGTCCATTTTAATTGCCAGTGCGTTGAATAATTCTGAATTGTGTAACAAAGGATGCATAAATAGAGAATTATACAAATCTAAATATTTAGAATTCCTTACTCTTTTACAGAAGTTAGCCAACGCAAAAACACTTGGAAATATGTATGTTGGTATTCTACAGATTAATGAATCATTAGGGTACGCTATTTGTAAAAGCTTACGCAAATGTGTTTTAAAATTATCATCAAAATCGTTACTTCGTAACAATTCCATAGCTACGTATTTGTCGGCGTCTAATACTACGCATTGTTCTCCATCATTTTTAGGAATAAATACATATTGAATAGTTGGTGGATATTTTACATCTTCTCGTTCTGGAGAGCTCTGTCGATATAACATTATAGCTCGTTTAGTATCATCTGCTTCGAACGTTAGTGTTTCAGATGGATTGTGAAGTACGTCTTTGCATTGAATAATAAGCTTAGGACCGCTCTTGTTTATCTGAAATGAATTATCGAACCAATTTGTAATTAATCCTCCTGGCATTAAACAACATCCTTCAAACTTATCTTCAATTTCTCTTGACCTCATGTTTAAACACCCTTCTAAAATCGTTTTATCGATACACTTATTAAAAAAATTCTGAATGGTATCCACTACCCATGGCGAATTATCTTTCGGTGTGTGTGTAATTGCTAAGTTATAGTCTGCTACACTTCTCCAAAGCTTGATGAAAGGTTCTAGGGAATGCATTTATTATTTTTTTATTAAATCTTATAAACGGAGTGTTCACGATTTGATAATAATGCATCGCAAATAAAGTCCATCATTCTTATACGTATTGCAGTATCCTTCGCCGTTAATTTATCGGATATCATAAAGGATATACACGTATACATAAAGTTGTATATTTTTTCATACGCCGATGCCTCTATATTATAATCAATGTATGTTGTGCACGATTTGTCATATGATTCGATACAGTCACCATCGTGTATTCTTTTGGATATTTGAAGTGGTATCGTCGCTTTGAATATTTTTAAAAATTGAATTACAACTTCTTGGACAATTTTTAATATTTCACGTTTTTCATTAATTACATTTCTATAATAATGGAAAAGAGATTCACCGTCATTTTTATGTAAAATATAATTTAAACAACACGTAGGAACGTCAATTTCAAAAGTAGCAGCACAATGTACATACAATGCAATAGCTAAAATTATATCGTTTATAGCGTATTGACGCAAACTCTTCCCAGTGTATGCATCTGTTAGACTCCTACATTCTCTTGCCAAAACAAAATGACCCTGCAATTCGGTCGAAACCACGGGGAGATTTGAAAAAAAATCTCGTCGTATTTGATATTCATTAAATCTCGTTAAAACATTTTTATACATTATAATTTGCCTTTTTCTGTGAAATTGTTCTTTTTCAAGGAATTTCCAAAGGATATATGTTGTGGTGGCCGGTCACCGACTGTGACCGGCCACCACCAAACTTCCTGGACAAGGCCGGTACGCCACCGATACCGTGGAAATCGTGGCTACGAATGTTCGAGCGATACATATTGGCTACTGGCACTCAGGAATATTCCGCCGAACGACGCCAAGCAAAGCTGCTCAACTGCCTGGGGGTCGAAGGCCAGCGCATCTATGACTCTCTCAGTGATGTGATTGGCCTAAGCCGTTTTGGAGCACCTTTTGGAGCAGCCATAACAGTGTTTTGGAGCAGCAAAAGTGGCCTTTGGAGCAGCCAAAACAGTGTTTTGGAGCAGCAAAAGTGGCTTTTGGAGCAGCAAAAAGTATCTTTTGGAGCAGATTTTTTTATAAAAAAAAAAATATTTGTTTTAAGTGTTGGACAAAGGAAGGGCACTTTGCTCGCCACAATAAACAAATTATGGTCAAGTTAGACGACCTGGGAGTCTTTCAAAATGCAACTGAAATGCCAATGACACAATATATTTTGCAATGCTTCACTTAAATGGCATACATATATGTACCCGCTATAGATAAATAAGAACCAAATTGCACATATTAAATGTATTTCAGAATGACCAGCTTAGCAGTAAACATGAAAGCATAAACTTCACTAGTTATATAATATAATAAATTGAAGCAGTATCCAACTGATGAAAGACGTAACTACTGCAATACAATACGAAACTGTACACATGAAGAAGATGCAGTACGACTGGTGGGTGCTTTTCCTTTTGCTTGTTGAAACTTTCTGCAAGGCTGCTGCAAGCCTCGCGTAGCTTTCGGCAAGTAATGAATGTCCACTTTCAAAGTCTCCAAAGAGACGTTGAGACATCCTACAAGTGTACAGTGCCGTAGGCGTTGCCGAGCAATTCCAAAACGTCCCCCACTGTTTTACTGGTTCCCGACATGCTAGATTTTCGTAAGGAGCAAGCAAATGTAAAGCAATGGATTGCAAGCGTCCCGGCTGGTACCTCTGTCGTGCAATCATGTTCGCATGAACGTGAGGGCAACTTCGGCAGCTTGCAGTTGCACGCGCTTCGTTATGCGAGCGGAGATATGGCTGTTCGATCGAAACCGAAACTCTACCACTCCGCTCCGTCGACATCTGGCCCCCAAAATTGTAGGCAAAATGCAACAATCCAGCATAAAAAAAAAAAAAAGAAAACAGTCCAGCGGCGCGTGTTTGCCAGGCCAGTATGCGAGGCACAAGCTAATTTAAAACGTTAAAAATCGCAAACAAAACAAGGACAATAAAGCTAATAAAAAAAAAAAAAAGAACCTGAGCGCATCAATGCAAGACATCGCGAGTCAGGGTCAAAAATTCCTCGGAGCGCTTTGTGCAACAACTTAACTCAAAATAAGCGAGCGCGCTGTGCGGGTTCAGCGTGCAGACATTGCCTTTTTTTTTTTTTTGCTTCCTTAAACTCTTTTGCAACAGACTTTTCACGTACCGGGGTCCCTCTCAAAAGAAATCCCACCGAGAGAAACCTAGGTAAACAGTACGTCGACACAACAGTCTTTGAGCTAGAGGGATTTTTGTAGTAGCGTTTAATTTAAACAAGGACAGGATTGCTGATTACCCTGCAGTGGTCTTTACGTTTCATTTTAGAAAGCGCCATATCTGCCGCACTGTGTGGACGGGAACACCCAACGTCCTAACCACGGTGACTGGTAGGCAGGGACCAAAAATAGTTTTGCCACGGCCGTTTCTTTCAGAAGCGAGTGCTTCAGATCACAAGTAACTCCCAATGCGCAAAAACGTGGTTTCGTTTTACAACATGAGGGCATGGCTGGTACCCGGCAAGCTAGCGTCGGGGCGTCCATATACGCTTGCATCTATCGTTAAAATATTTTCAAGAGGATGCAAGACGAGACCCACGAGAGCGCGAAATGAGGAACGGCGGGAAAAACCATGCGAGACCGGATGGACGATTGATGCAGCACACTTTCTGTCGGGCGGTCGCTTGCGCCACCTAGCTCACGCATGCTCAATTACGGTACTCAGTTTAGTTTCGGTTTTGAAAGGCGACCGACTTTGGTCCTTTGGCGCAGGCTGGGCGCAGATTACCCCTATTTCGGCGAAATGTAGCAGGATGTAGCAGGGTTAGCCTCTTGGCGCAGTTTGGCGCAATTGGCGCAGCAATCACATCACTGCTCTCTACCAGCTCCCGTTGGACCGGCGCCAGCAACGTCACCGGCGGGAGACGGTCAGCAAGCCCGGCAAGCGTCTCGCGACGTGTATAGAGAGACCCTCACGGTTCTCGAGGCTGAATTTTCGCAGCCGGTCAACGAGACCCTCCAACAACTCCGGTTTCACATGGAGAAAACAGCAAGAAGGAGAATCTCTGCGCGACTTTCGCTCAGCACTCCGAGCATTGGCCGTGCCGGCGAACTTCGGTGCCGACACCGAGGCCGTCATCCGCCGACAGTTCATGGTGGGTGCTGCTTCCGCAGAGATTCAAGAACGCCTGGTACTTGACGCCGCGCTGCCGTTCAGCGTGGCCTTACAGACTGTCCTTAATTTGGAACGCTCACGCCGGGAAGTTCGAGAATGGGCATCGGCAACTGCGCCAGCTGCGCCGTCGATGGCGTCGGACGAGCACGTGACCTGCCACGTCACAGGGCGCGCAACGAGTCAACCTCAGCCGATGATGTCATCTTTGCACGAGCCGTGGCGCTCGCGCCGTGAGTCACCTGTGCGATCTCCGACGGGGCGTTCTTCAGCTGCTTCAGCCCGGTCAGTGAACGCACGCGCTTCGCGCTCGCCTAGCCAGCAGAGCTGCGTAACCTGCGGCCGTAGCGGCTATGGTGGTTTCGACCGTGGCAGTCGTCAACAGAGCCCTGGACGATCGGCGTTTCGGCGTTCGGTACGTTTCGAATCACCGCGGCGGCAACCATCTCCAAGGCGGAACTACGGCTACGGAAGAACATGTCCCAACTGCGGTTACGGTCAGGAACACTGCGGGGGCTATGACGTCTGCCCAGCGAGAGGTCAGCACTGCGACGACTGCGGTCGTCGGGGACATTTTTCACGCGCTTGTAGAAGTGTTCGCCGATCCCTGCTGCGCCGCCCGCGTGATCAAGTTGAGCAGATCGTCGACGACTACTACGATGACGACGACGAGCAGTGGGAGGTGTCCCACATTTCCGGACCTTCTCAAAGCAAGCTGTACTTAAACATCCAGGTATTTGACTCGACGCTGCAGTTTCTTCTTGACACGGGGTCAGCCGTCTCCATCGTGGATAGTGCCATGTTCGTCCGGTATTTCGCGAGCAAGGCGACAGTTGTACCACCACCTGTGAAGCTCGTGAACTTTTCTCAGCAACCCATCACCATTCTGGGAGCATTCGAGGCACCGGTAATGTTCAGGGAGCGTGCGGCAACAGTACTTTTTTACATTGCTGACCGTGGTACCTCTTTACTCGGCATGGACGCTGTTGTAGCCCTCGACATCCAGATAAGTGGCGCCACTCGGTCGTGCTTCCATACTGATACAGAGGGTTCTGGCGACCCGCCGAGAGAGGAGAACGAGAGGTTGACACCGGCCCCACAGGACGAAGCGTCAAGTGCATTGAGAAATGAGTGGTCGTCAAGGGTGCAAAATCAGCTGGCCTCAGCATCGCCTCCACCACAGGCTGCAGCTTCAGTGGTGCCTGAACCAGCAAAGCCAAACCTGCCGCCTTCCATGAGCAACTTCGAGCACCTCTTCAGTCCGGGTCTTGGCCGTGTCAAGGACATTGTCCACAAGGTAAACATTCGACCTTCTGTCATTCCCGTCCGTCATCGAATGAGACGTATTCCTCTAGCAGCGCGTCAGTCAGTATCAGAAGAAATCAGACGCTTGGAAGCGGCTGGGGTCATCGAGCGGATTAATTCCTCCGAATGGGTATCACCAATTGTGGTGGTGCAGAAGAAAGACGGCTCAATTCGAATGTGCGTGGACCTGCGGGAAGCCAACAAAGCTGTCGTTATTGATAGCTTTCCTCTTCCGCACATAGAAGAACTTCTGCATGCTTTACATGGTGCCAAACATTTTTCCAAGCTTGACTTAGCGGCTGCTTACCACCAAGTGCCGCTACATAAAGATAGCCGGGACCTAACCGCATTTATTACACACGAAGGTCTCTTCCGGTTCAAAAGAGCATGTTTCGGACTGGCATCGGCGCCAGCAGCTTTCCAGCAGATGATGTCCGAAATGCTTCAGGACTGCGAAGGTGTGTTGGTCTACCTTGACCACGTTGTTGTTTTTGGCAGGACCAAGGAGGAGCACACACACCGTCTGCGTGAGGTGCTGCGGCGTATCTCGGATGCTGGACTGAAACTCAACAAGTGCCTATTCGATGTGCCAGAATTTTCGTTTTTGGGTCATAAAGTCAGCGCTCAAGGGATTGCTCCGCTACAAACGAAGGTGGATGCACTCAACGCTGCCCCTATCCCCACGGACATCGCCCAACTCCGTTCTTTTCTGGGGATGGTGGAGTATTACTCTCGCTTTGTGCCTCGGTTAGCGTCTGAGGTCGAACCTCTTCGAAGGTTCCTGCGAAAAGACACTCCGTTCGTCTGGGACAACGAGGAGGACAGAAGCTTCAACCAAGTCAAGAGGCTGCTGTCATCTGCCAGGACACTAAGAATGTTCGACCCCACGTTGCCCACCATCGTGGCCACAGACGCGTCGGCATACGGCATTGGGGCTGTGCTGCAGCAGCGTCATGGTGATGGCGTCTTCCCTGTCGCATTCGCCTCAAGGACGCTCACTTCGACAGAGCGGCGATACTCGGTCGGGGAAAAAGAAGCGCTTGCGTGTTTGTGGGCGTGCGAAAAATGGCACATATACTTATGGGGCCGCCACTTTACCCTTCGCACGGACCATCAAGCACTCGTGTCTTTGCTGTCCACCGGAGGAGCAGGACGTCGCCCGCTACGGATCACCCGTTGGTCACATCGCCTACTGAAGTACAACTTCACGGGGGAGTTCCAGCGAGGTGCCGAAAACCAGGTAGCAGATGCCCTGTCCCGCTTGCCGATGTCGCAGGAAGAAGAGGGGATGGAGTTCGACGACGAGATCATCTCCTTTGTCGCTTTAGACGAAGAGTGCATCACGAAGCAACAGCTGCAAGAAGAGACAGCGAATGACGCTCTGCTCACCACTGTCATGGGATATGTGACCTCTAAGTGGCCTCCAGTGGGCGCTCTCTCCGCTGATGCGGCCATCTTCTACGACCTGAAGGATGCGCTCTCCGTCAACGACGGTCTATTGCTGCGCGGAGAGCAATTCGTCATCCCCACGACTATGCGATGCGCTCTTGTCGCCAGAGCACACGAGGGCCACAACGGCATTGTCAAGACGCAAGCACGCCTTCGTGAGCTCTATTGGTGGCCCCGCATGAACGCAGAAGTGCGTAGTGCAGTCTGCGCCTGCAAAATCTGTAACACCTCAGACAAGAGTGCCAAGACGTCACCAACCCCTCTCCAGCCAGTGCCCTTGCCAGAGCGACCTTGGTCAAAGGTGGGCATCGATGTCGTGGGCCCTTTTGAGCGAGCGGAGCCTGCGTGTCGCTACGCCATCACGCTGGTGGACTACTTTTCCAAGTGGCCCGAGGTACAGTTCTGCCCAAACGTCACCACAAGGAGGATCACGGACTTTCTGCGCGCCATCTTTGCCAGAGAGGGGTACCCTGACAGCGTTGTGAGCGACAATGGGCCACAGTTCATTTCAGGCGAATTTGAGACGTTCCTTAAAGTGCGAGGTATAAAGCACCAGCTGGTTTCTGTCTACTACCCCCAGTCCAACGGGCAGGTTGAACGTTTCAACCGTACCCTGAAGGGTTTTCTCCAGTGCGCCACCCTTGAGCGGAGCAGCATCCGGTCATCCCTTGTAGACTACCTGATGATATATCGCTGCACGCCCCATGCCAGGACTGGACTTTCTCCTGCTCTCCTGCTGCATGGGCGGAAGCCTCGCACCCGCCTTAACATCCTCGGACTGTCGTCGGCGCAGTTCTTGCAAAATCCCATCGAGGAGCTGCAACGGCTGCGACATCGAGTGCAGCAGAGGCAGCAGTACACGAAGGAGTACACCGACCGGCGTCGAGCGGCGAAGACCCCCAGATTCAGGGTAGGCGACTGGGTTAGAGTGAAGAAACCAGGAAAGGTAGCCAAGGGGGAGTCGGCCTTCGGGCCGCCACTACGCATCATGAAGCGGGTCGGTCGGTGGACATTCCGGCTGGGAGATGGTAGAGTGTGGAATGCCTCTAAACTCGCAGCTGCTTCCGATCCCAGTCTAGGAAGTGATCAGCAGGGGACACTGGCTGCCGTTCAAGGTGGCCAGCCCGCGAGCCACACTGCTACTCCAGGTGACGCGCACCACAGGCATCATACTTGGCAACCTCAAGAGTCAAGTTCGGCCATGCAGCAGCTGCCTCGATCGCGGACGCCTGAGTGCAGACCTGCCCCGGACACGCCTCCAGGAATGGGAACTTCAACTGCTCAGTGTCCTAGGCAGGTGCTTCTAAGGCGCTCGGGGCGGAACCGTCGACCACCAGTGCGGTATGGAGACCTTGGTACTCGATGAAATGAGTGAACTATTTCCTTTTGTGTTTTTCGACGTAGAGTGAACTATTTGTGTGGTTCATTTAAACTGTGCTTATCTTGCTCTTGATTTTTGCTGTTGTAAATGCGTGCATAATGTTTTTGTCATCGTCTTGTTCCTACACTCTTAAAAAAAAAAAAAAAAGAAGGGAGGGGAAAATGTTATGTTTAGTTGTACGATCTAAATTCTTCCCTCTTTTGTTTGTTCCTTCTTTGCTGGCATCTGTGGCAGCGGCCCCCTTACACCTGCACCGCTGCCGAAGGGCACGCGCCAAGAGCGCGCGCTCTTGCTGTGCGTGCTCAGTCTGTCTGTTGGTTTGTTCGTCTCTTTTCTTCTCTTTTCTCTCTCTTTCTGCTCGAGAATTAAAACAGTTCTGCAATGTGACTCCGACTTGGCTGGTCGTTTTCTAGGCTGCCTCCACACTAACGAAGGAAGGATTGTGTACACGAGGGAGGAGTGCGATCTCCTCTGAGCACTTGTCAAAAAATATTGGAAAGTTATAGAAGACAAAAGAACGAACAACTCCTCGAAAGAGGCTAAACTTGAAGCATGGAAAAAACTCTGCACGGAGTATAACTGCCAGCCGCATGTTTGTTCAAGGGACGTTAAACTAAAAAAGTGTTGGGATAACGCTAAATCCAGATGGAAAAAAGGTGACTCGGAGAAGCGCGACATCTACGCAACAGGTATGTAGTTCATTTCTACTTTCGGGAAAATAACGCAGTGCGTTTGCAGAATCATGACACTATGTGTCTACTTAAATAACTCAGCAGTGGAATTTTTGTGGCCACCTGCGACAAACTTTGTCGCTTTATATGGTGCTTGTGCTGACATCGACAATCTGCGTTTGTGTGTTGTGCAACATTTAAGCGACCATTACACAGTGAGCATTCTGGTTGAGCCTAAGCACCCTAACCTGAGTTTCGACTGTCTTGAGCTGATTTCGAGAAGCAATCTGAATGTGTAAATAAAAACCGATGCACAAAACTGGCACCATAATACACATAGAAGGTACACCGAGCAGGGGTTTAGACTACCTGAATTAAGCCAAGCAACTAATCTTTTTAGATGCTTTTTTTTTTTTTTTTTTTGTGCAAAATTGTTTTTTGCATGTTGCTGGTTTAATTGTATGTCATCTCATTTCTTAACTGTGACGATCTAGGAACAGCCTTTATAGGGAGTATTCACCTGCGGCTTATGTGCAGGTTGCGTGGGGTCCGTTCTGGGCACATTGCCATCTTTGTAGCCTTGACAGCAGACGGTCGCACCAGGACCAGCCGCACTACGCCACAAATCTTTCTCCAATTTTGGTGACACCGGAATTTGCAGCGCCAGCATGGTGTCGTGCGGAATGGTCGGCTGCTGCACCAAGTTACAGTTAAAGAAAAAAGAGGAAAGCAAGCTTGCAAACTCCAGTTACTTTAAGATTCCGAGAGTCTGAACACACGAGTATGGGAAAGCACGGTCATTCAGTGCGAATGGCTTGCGCGCATCGACCGGGTAGGCGTCGACAAGTACCGATGTGTTTAACGCACTTCGTCCCGGGTAAGTGTCGGCACCATTTGCTTTAGTCGGACATCAGCAGGAAGACTTCCACAAAACGTTTCCCGTCACTGCTGCTCATTGCGACGCGTGTCGCATGTAGTTTCGACGGACCGAGCGACAGCGGATGTTGTCTTGATCTTGGAAGGAATGAAAAAAAAAAAGGAGCCGTAGGGGAGTGCAGTGACAGTGTGGCTCTTTTTTTGCCTGAGCAATGGTAACTAGAGAGCGACAGAAATAAACTCGGGAGCAGAGATTTCTTTCAATGGCGGTTTTCTGATGCTTCTGTGATAAGCTCACATTCGAGTTTCTTAGACATGTTTTATCGTGATTGACTAGCAACTAGCTCTAAAGTATAAACCAGATATAAGTAATTCTTCCAGACAAAGTGACGCGACAGGACCCGCTATCACTCAGTCTGTTGAAACAAGCAAGCGACGCACGTCGCAATGAGCAGCAGCGACGGGCGATGGGCGAAGCTTTGTGGAAATCTTGCCGCTAATGTCCGACGAAAACAAACGATGCCAACGCTCACCCGAGACGAAGTACTTTGAACACACTTGACACTTGTCTTCGTCAAGGACATTCCGGTTGATTCACACAAGACATTTGCGTTGCCTTCTCACGGAGAGTGACCGTGCTTTCTCGCACTCGTGTGTTCAGGCTCTCGGAATCTTGAAAAAACGGGAGTCCGCAAGCTTGCTCTCCTCTTTTTTGTTGTTCAACTGCGACTTTGTGCAGCAGCCGACCATCATGCAGAACACCATACTGCCACTGCAAATTCTTGCAGTGCCAGTATGGTGTCCTGCGTAGGCGTCCGTCAACTAATTGACGGATGCGAACGCAGTTTAGGCGTCCGTCAATTAGCTGGTTGTAACCATCTTGCACTGAGCATGTGCCAGCACAAGTACACAAAGAAAAAAAAAACATTTTGCCGAACTGGGTTTTAAACCTGCAACCCTTGAATTATAAGGCGGGCATTGTACCCTTACACCATGGGGCCTTTTTTTTTTCTTTATTGCAAAAACAAAACGCAAAAAATTCAATGACTTTAAAAATGATCTACAGCACTTTTTGCAGAGCATATTAAAACATCTCATATCAAGAAGAGGTTCACAAAGGCCACGCCGGTCGGGCTTCGACTCACAACTTCAAAGAAATGTGTACTTCTTTCGTGCTATGCCATCCTAGTTTACCTGATTCAGCTGGTTCAAGACAAGAAACCTTAAATAGACAAAGACACTGCCACAGAAATCTTGCAATATATCGCAAAAGTAACATTCACAGCTTTCCAACAAGAGATCAAGCTTGCCTCTCTTAAAACACAAATTGTGCCTCTCTTAAAACACAGGTGGCTAATTTGACATCTGCAGCCCTTTCGGCTGGAAATCCTACCGTGCCTATCTGGGGACATCTATAGTTGAACTGAAGAATGAACCGGCTTGAGAAGATAAGTTTGTTTGTCCTCAAAATAGCGTATACTACTATGCCTGAACTAACCGTATTGAAACACAAAATTCTATAACTAGTGGCACTATCACGGCAAGGTATCATTCCATCTTCTTACCCTTTGGAACGCTTGAAGTGCAGAAGGCACATGCATTCAAAACATGCACGTGACAGTTCCGCCCTCTGTGTGCCTTCTCCGACTTCAATGTTCTCGCAATACTAAAGAGTAGCCAACAGCTTCCAACAAGAAGGCAGGCTAAATAGTTCCACGAAATGAAGGGAAAGGTTGGTCTGAAGAGGAGTGGTGATGCTGAGGAACGCAGAAGTATTCATATCTTATGCCAGTAGAAAAAAACTAAAAACCACTTTACTTGCAGAACAGAACGGCATCTAAAGATTATACACCACTAAACTATCTGCCATTGATTGTAACGACGAGTTTCTGTACTGCAGCTTTGAAAGGCACGGCTTTCACAGCAGAGCTGCGGCAACTCCACGCTTACTCACCACAGAATCTGGCAAGGTATGACTGGTGCTGCACACAGGAACCCTGGAAATCTATACACCTCATTTTGACACCACAAGAAAAAAGGAAGTTTTGAGCATTGTTCATACGCCGCGCAGATTGGTCATACGCCACGATAAGGTATCAAATATTGAATCTAAGGTGCACCTACATACCGTAGAATACCGCGCATCTGCCCACTCCGCACTAAGCACCCATTTCCAAATTTGTAAGACCTGAGAAAATAAGCACAGTACATCCATATGTAAAATTGATGACCGGACAAGCGCCCATCCCCCATTTTTTTGCGATTATCTCCAAATTTTTAGTGACTGCTTGCTCAGAATTCTGCGGTATATCTTAATTCTCAACGTCCGCTGCGATTGTTCGCAGCAGACGTCGTCCTGGTTTCTTGGTCCCGCTGTGCAGGATAGGGCCTCAGGAAGACAAGTGGGGAACGATTTACCTTGGGATATAACTTTCACCTCCCATTACTTAAACAATTGTAGCCATCCTTTGTGTGTGCATTCTGAAAATAAACATTTCATCCTTCTTCATGTTTCATCCCGCCTCCAATAATTTCATAGACCATGCCGGGTGAAAGCGACACTTGAGGAAATGCTGACAAATGGCAGTCTAAATCAGAATGATACTGGAATCTGTGACCACTCCGAAGCGCTATTTGACACATACTCCACTAATGCGAAGAACTTCTCGGAAGTGGAGGACAAACAAAGCTCCTTAGAGAACACATGCAAAGGAAAAAAAACTTTTTTTTAAACAGCCGGGTTGGGAAAAGGAAGTCATAAAACAAATTTACAACGAAAAAAAAAAACTTTCTAGAGCTATATTTACGGCGCTATACAAATTTGTTGCTCGCAACCACGGGCGCCGCAGAAAAGTAGCCCATATTTATCATGTGATTGGCCCCTATTTATCACGTGCTGCTGCGCTCTTTCGGAAGCTTCCTTTGGCTTCCAAAAGTAAGTTATTCATCTTTGTTCAAAGTATAACACAAAACAAAGATTAATAAGTAACATTTAGAGCCCAAAGGAAGCTCTGAAAAAGCACAAGCAGACGGGATAGACCTGTGCGCCGATCAGATGACGGCGGCGGTGCCCCGAAGCAGACGCACTTGCGCGGCGACGGCGGCGGCGGCATGGAAAAACGCGTTGAAGCGGTAGCACACAACGCTCAGCGTGCGGCGGTGGCGACGCAGCGCGGCGGCGCACAGGTCTACCATGTGACCAGCAGCGGCTCCCGCGGGCGCAAACTACAAATTTGTTTTGTGCTGTAAATATAGCTCTAAAAATTTTCTTCTTTCTAAATTTGTTTTATAACATACTTTTTCCATCTAAGCTGTTTAAAAAAATGTATTTTTTTTACTTTGCATGTGTTTTTTAAAGGGACACTCATTAGGAATTTATGCTCACTGGGGTTTTTAGTTGTACATGACATACCTCTCAATACCGCCTGCCTTGTTCCGTGTGTGCCTGTGCAATGTT